CTTTTATGTGTCTACTATAGGGTTTTGCTTTGTGGTTACCATGGAGCTTACATTAAATAAAACATTTAAAAAAATTTTTTTATTGTGTTTTTATCCTCATTTGGGGACATATTTTAGAAGGTTTTATTTATGTATTTTTAGAGAGGGGTGTAGAGAGAGAGAAGAAGAAGAAGAGAAACTTAAATGTGTGAGAGAAACATTGATCAGTTGCCTCTTGTACGCCCCAGCCACAGACCTGGCCCACAACTCAGGCACGTGCCCAGACTGAGAATCACACTCGTGACCTTTCAGTTTGCAAGATGACACCCAACCCATTGAGCCACACCAGTCAGGACACTCAAGGACATATTTTTCATTGCTTTTAGAGAGGGAGGAGGAAGAGAGAGGAAAGGAGAGAAAGAAACATTGATACAAGAAATAAGCATCAATTGGTTGCCTCCTGTATGCACCTGGACCAGGTATGATACCTGGACAGGGCATTATATGCATTCAGGACAGGATTGCACATTCCAGAGCCTGGACCAGGAATCAAACCTGCAACTTAGGTGTGTTGTCTGACCAGGAATCAAACCCACATTTTGGTTGTGGAACAATGCTCCAACCAACTAAGCCACACTGGCCAGGGGAACTCCTTTTGTTTTTAACAGTCTATTTTAAGGTGATAATAACAAGTTTGAACACATTCTAAACCTTTGACTTTTTGCTTTCCCTTCACGTTTTATATTTTTTATGTCACATTTTACACCTTTTTATCTTGTGTATCTATTAACAAATTATTGTGGTTATATTTATTTTTGTCTTTTAACCTTCGTGCTGGCTCTATAAGTGATGAACCCACCACTTTGACAACATTAGATTATTCTGAATTTTACCTTGTATTTACCTGGTTAGTGAAATTTGTAGTTTCATGTTTTCCTGTTACTGATTTCAGTTTCAGTGTTTAAAAGTCCCTTTGACATTTCTTGGAGGCTAGTCTGATGGTGATGAACTCCTTGCTTTTGTTTGTCTGGAAAATTCTCCTAATTTCAATTATGAAGGACAGCTTTGCTGGATAGAATATTCCTGCTTGACACTTTTTTCTTTCAGTGCTTCAAATTTATTGAGCCACTCCCCTCTAGTCTCCAAAGTTTCTACTGAAAAATTTGCCTGTAGGCTTATGGGGATTTTCTTTTTACATAACCAGTTTTTGTTTTGTTTCGTTTTTTTTTTTCTTGCTATTCTAAAGATTCTCCCTTGTCATTAACTTTTGACACTTTAATTATAACACATCTTGTGGGGTCTCTTTGGATTCTTCATCATTGAAACTCTGAGATTCGATTCTTGTATCTGTATGTCTGTTTCCTTCTGCAGATTAGGGGAGTTTTCAGCCATTAGTTCTTCAAAAGGATTTTCTGCCACTTTTTTCTACATCTGGGACCCCTATATGAATTTTAGTCCCCTTGTTTTTGTTCCATAAGTCCTTTATGCTATTTAACTTTCATTCATTCTTTTTTATTTTTGCTGTTCTGATTGTGTGAACTCCACTGTCCTGTCTTCAAGTTCATTGATAGATTTCCTTCTGCATCATTTGATATGCTGTTGAACCCCTCCATTGTATTTTTAAGTTATCGTGTTCTTCAGTTTCTGGCTTATATTTGGTACTTTTCAGTATTTTCTATCTCATTGTTGAAATTCTTACCATGTTCATCTATTCTTCTCTTGAGGTCAGTGAGCATCTTTATGACTTATTTTGAACTCTTTATTTGGTAAACCACTTGACTCCATTTCATTAAAGTCTTTCTATTATTCTTTTATTTGGAACATATTTCTCTGTTTCTCCACTTTCCTTGACTCTCTGTGTTAGTTTCTTTTCTTTAAAGATTTTATTAATTTATTTTTAGAGGTGGGGGGGGAGAGAGAAACATTGATGTGTGAAAGAAACATTGACTGGTTACATCTCATGCAGCTCCCTAACCAGGGACCTGGACTGCAACACAGGCATGTGCCCACACTGGGAATGGAACCAGCCACCCTTTGGTTCATAGACCAGTGCTCAGTCCTTTGAGTCACACCAGCCAGGGCTAGTTTCTATGCATTAGATGAAATAGCCACTTCTCCCAGTCTTGAAGGAAATCAGCCTTATCTTTTCAACCTTGCTGTAGGTCTTGGTTGTTTCTCAAACCTTTGGAATTGTTCAAGCAGCCTGTTTTATTTTTAGTGGCTTTCAGTAGTTAAACATGTGCTAAGACTTGCCATTTTCATGAAGAGGAGGATTTCGGTTAGCACCAAGATTCAGGCTGATTGGAATCCAGACCTTCAGGCAGCAGCTTTTCAAGTCTGCAAATATACCTCTTGCAGGGGAAAATTAGGAAATGGGCATTTTTCTTTGTTTCCTCTATGCCAAGCCCTGGGGTGATAGGCAGTTGAGAATTTTTTAATTTGCTACTATCCTATTGAACCCACAAACAAAAATCCCACTGGTCACCAGAACCAAGCTATTGAGGGCAGAGGACTCCAAAGTCAAGGCTCTGCACCTATATACCAGCTCCTTTCCAGACAGCCCCAAACCCAGCATAGTGGCAGCCATCTTCACATCACTTTGTAGCTCATACCAGGTGGCTCTGGGCAGGGCACAAGCAGAGACAATTGACCGTCACTTGAGCCCTTCCCAAGAGGTCACAGAGCCAGTATACCTGGCATTGAGCCTCAGGCCACATCAGATGCCCAACTACTTGCACAAATGAGATACCCAAGAGGCAAACGTGGCAGCCAGCAGAGCCCGCTAAAGGAAATCCTGTTTTGGCTTCAGCTTCTGCGCTACAGTTTCTCCTCTGTTGTCATGGCCAGTTCTTACAACCAGTCAGCCTGAAGGCCAATCCCTTCCATTGACATGCCAACAGCAGTTAAGCCTGAACTACAATGAGAGGGTACACACAACCCACACAGGGACATACTTGGAGCACTCAACTCAGGTGACATGGACGACTGTGCCACCAGGCTCCGCAGGACACCTACTACATAAGGTTACTTTTCCAAGACCAGGAGATGTAGCACCTCTACCTAATACATGGAAACAAACAGGCAGGCAGCCAAAATGAAGAGATGACAAAACATGTCCCAATGAAAGAATAGAACACAACTTTCAAAAAAGATATAAACAAAATGTAGACAAGCAATCTACCAGATGTGGAATTCAAAATGCACATTATAGGGAAGCTCAATGAACTTAGGTGAAAAGTAGTTGAACTCATTGAGAACTTAAGCAAAGAGATAGGAAACATAAAAGTGGAGATAGAAAATGTTAAAAAGAACCAGTTAGAAATGAAAACTATAATAACTGAAATGAAGAGTACATCAGAGGAATCAAGGGTTGATAAAGCAGAGGATCCTAGTCAGAGATTTGGAGGACAAGGAAGCAGGAAAAGCCAATCAGAATACCAAAAAGAAAAAGGAATCCAAAAAGATTAGGATAGTTTAAGAGGCCTCTAATACAACATTACACATACCAACATTTTCATCATTGGGATAACAGAAAGAGAAGAGGGAGAGCAGGGAATTGAAAACCTATTTGAAGAAATAATGACAGGAAACTGCTCTAACATGGAGAAGAAAAGACATACAAGTGTAGAATGCCAAACAATATGATCCCAAAGAGACCCACACCAAGACACATCATAATTGAAATGCTAATGGTTAAAGACCAAGAGAAGATCTTAAAAGCAACAAGAGAAAAGCAGTTATATACAAGGGAGTTCCCATACAACTGTCAGCTGTTTTCTCAGCAGAAACTTTGCAGGCCAGAAAGGATTGGCATGGAATATTAAAAGTGATGAAAAGCAAAGACCTACAATGAAGATTATGCCAAAAGTCTATCATTTAGAATCGAAAGACAGAACTTCTCAGACAAGAAAAAGGTAATGGACTTCGTCACCATCAAACCCGCATAACAAGAAAAGTTAAAAGGATGTCTTTAAGAAGGAAAAAAAAGAGATAAAAAGTACATATAATAAAATGACGTAAATACATACCTATCAATAATTATGTTAAATATGAATGGATTAAATGCTTCAGTCAAAGGACAGAGTGTGTGAATTAATCCATTCACCCATATGTATAATGTGTACACGAGACCCATACAGACTGAAAGTGAAGGGATGACAAAAAGCACAGAAAATTTTAAAAAGTTAGGGTATCAGTACTTAGACAAAATAGACTTTAAAACAAAAGCTGTAACGAGAGGCAAAGAAGAGACCCAACAAATCCATTTCTGGGTATTTATCCAAGGAAATCCAAAATGCTAATCTCAAAAAATATATTGCATCCCCATGATAATTACAGCATTGTTTACTATAGCCATAGTGTGGAAGCAGTTTAAGTTTCTATAGATGAACAAATGTGAAAAGAGGAAATGATACATATATACAATGGACTACTACTTGGTCATGAAAAAGAAATCTTGACATCTGCAACAACATGGATAGACATAGAGGGTGTTACGGTAAGTAAAATGGGTCAAAGACAAATGCCATGTGATTTCACTTATATGTGGCATCTCATAAACTAAATGAACAAGCGAAAGCTTGTAAGTACACAGAACATCTTGATGCTTGTCAGGTGGAAGGGGATTTGGGTGGATGGATGAGAAAGGGATAGGGATTAAGATTTGCAAGTCTCCAGTTATAAAAACATTCACAGGAATGTAAGGTACAGCATAGGGAATATAGTCAATGTTGTAATAACTATGTATGATGTCAGATGGGTACTAGACTTGTGATCATATTGTAAGATACAAATATCTAATCACTATGTTGTACACGTTAAACTAATACGTCAACTGTAATTAAAAAATTTATTAAAAATATAAAATGATACAATAGATATAAGTCATTTCTAATAAAGTACATTTTAAACTCATTGCATTGTAAACAGTTAAAATCTTATCTCAGATATATCAGTAACTTAGTTGGGAGAGAAAATTTTGACACTGAAAATTATGGTATGTGACTAAATATAGGTAGTGAGTGCTCGCTTCAGCAACACAGATACTAAAATTGGAATGATATAGAGAAGTTTACCATGGTCTATGCACAAGGGATGACACAGAAATTCTTGAAGCATCTCATATTTTTTGAAAAATTAATCAATAATAAATAAAGGTAGTGATATAATCTCAATGCCTATTTGTTTGTATAAGAACAAAATTAGAAAGCTTATAGTACTTGTGTTCAAGATGTGACAAAAAGTTACTGTAAGAAATTTCACCTCTATATATATACCCAAGAGTATTGAAAACATGTCCACACACACGTCTCTACTGAGATGTTTATAGCAGCATTATTCATAATATCGAAAAAGTGGAATCAGTGTAGATATTCATGAACTATTGAATGGATGAACCAAAAGTGTATATTTATACAATAGAATATTATTCAGCAATAAAAAGGAATGTCATATTACTTCATACCTGGTAGGAGGGGTATAATAAAAAGGTAGACAAGAACATGTATTGATGAGGATGCAAAGAAATTGGAACCCTCATTCATAGATGGTGGGAATATAAAAAGTCTCAGCCATTATGAAAATAAATTTGGCAATTCCTTCAAAATTTTAGTGTTACTATTTACCAAAAAATACCACTTATTAGGTATATACCTGAGAGAACTGAAACGCATATTTACACAAAAAACTTATGTACAAATGTTCATAGCAGTCTTATTATAATAGACAAAAGATAGAAACGATCAAGTGTCAGCTATAAAAGTGGAATGAAGTACTGTTACATGCTACAACGTGGGTGAACCTTAAAAGCATTGTACAGTAGTGTCCCCTTAATCCATAGTTTTGCTTTCCACAGTTTTAGTTACCTGCAGCCCTAAAATACTAAATTGAAAATTGCAGAAATAATTCATAAGTTTTCAGTTGCTTGCCATTCTTAGTTGTATGATAAAATCTTGTGCCACCCCACTTAGGGCATGAATCATGTCTTTGCCCAGCATATCCATGCTGTATACACTGCCTGCCTGAAAGTCCTTAGTAGTTTCTTGTTGCGCGATTATTTACGATCACCTGAAGCCAATGATCTTTCTCATATATCACCAGAAGGTCATTAGTAGCCTCATGTTACATCACAATGCCTATGTTATTCACCTCACTTCATCTCCTCATATAGGCATTGTATCATCTCACATGATCACCAGAAGAAGGGTAAATATTGTACAATAAAATATTTTGAGAGGGAGAGAAACCACATTCACATAACTTTCATTACAGTATTTTGTTATAATTGTTTTGTTATTTTCTTACTATGTGTAATTTATAAATGAAACATTATCATAGGTATGTATAGGAATGAACATATCTATGTTCCAGTGGGGTCCAGTGGGGTTTTGGACTGTATCTGTGGATGGGAAGGTGGGTAGGCTGTTGTATTAAGTGAAAGAAGCCAGGCAGAACGATCACCTGTTGTATGATTGTATTCATATGAATGTCCAGAACAAATCTATGGAGACAGTAAGTGGATTAGTAGTGGTTAGGTCCTGTGAGTAGTGCAATATCGGGACTGACTGCTAATAGAAAGAAACAGGATTTCTTTTTAGGGTGATGCGAATATTCTGACATTATTTAGTGTTGATGGTTGTACAACATAGTGAATAAACTGAAGCACACTGAAGTGTACACTCTAAAATGGTGAATTTTATATTGTGTGAGATATATCAGTTAAAATGGTGTATAGAAATAATGCTGAGTCCATGGTGATACGCATTTTGTATTTTGATAAATATTATCAAGTTGTCCTACATTGAGGTGATATAATTTATATTCTCACAAATTATGTATGAGTACTGTTTTCCTCACATTCTTGCCATTGTGATACGTCATTAAAAGTTTTAATCTTTGTCATTGTTATTGTTGAACAATGATAACCTAATGGAGACTATTATATTTCTGTAATTATGATCAAGATTGAATATCTTTCCATATACTGAAATACCATTTATAGTTCTTGTATACTTTCTATTGTCTATCTTACCTGTTGTCTGTTTTTCTATTAGTGTTGGTCTTTCTTATTGATTTGTAGACCTGTTTATATGTTATCTTTTCCCCTACTTTGTTTTTCTTTTGACATAATGGTGTGTTTTTACTGTGAACAGTATCTTTACTCTCTAGGAGTGCTCGTTATAGTGTTGCTTCATTTTCTAGTTTTAAGCCTAGAAAGATCCTAAGACATCATTGATGAGGTCTCTCAAATTTTCCAGTGCTTGTCATTGTACTCCTTCTCAACTATGTCAGATTAACACATCTATTTGTATATGTAAATATATTTGCATGTCTGATATCAACATATTTTTGAAGGGGAACTCAATTAGGAAGGAAGGCTTTGGATAAATTAAATGATCCTAAATTTTGATTTTAGACAAGTATTAAAATGAAAATAATGTATGACTTTTTCTCTAAAATGTGAAGTACAGAGTCACTAGATTAAAACATAGATGGGTAGGAAGGTGGATAAATGTGTGGCTGTATAGAGGAAACATTTTTTAAATAGGAGTGAAAATTGGCCAATTTTTGGCACAGAAATACCCCTTTCCCCTTTAACTGTTTCTTGATTTATTCAGCAGGTATAATCACTTCTTCACCAAATATTTTTAGTAGACATTATATGCCACACCCTGTGCTAGGTGCTGACTGTTCAGCTTTGAATCAATAAGATTTTATCCCTTACTTCACAGAGTTCATAATCTAAATGAAAGAGATGGGTGATAAAAAGGTAAAACAGACATATCACAAAAAAAAAGAAAGTGTTACGAGAGAACTTAATGTCCCTTGCCTGTTTCTTGAAAATAAGTAAATAGGAGCTTCGTGACATACTTTTGATAGGGTGGTCAGTGAAGACCTTTTCTGAGGAGGTAATATTTAAGCTGAGACACAGGTAATGAAAGGAGTCAGCTATGGTACAGCTGGAGAAGGACATTCTGTGTATTAAGGAAGTATGGAACTGAAGGCCCTAAGATGGCATCATTTAGTAACAGAAGGGAGGCATTATGGCTAGAGCTTAGTAAATTGAGGTAGAAGAGTTAAGAAGAGAGAATGCTAAGGACTTTGGACCTTACATTGAGAAATTATCAAAAGACGAAGCAAAGAAGTGATGTTATGTTTTAAAAGACTACTTGAGCTTCTAGATGGAGGAGGGAGAAAGGTGGTAAAAAAAGAGGCAGAAACAGTAATTAAGAGTCTGTGGCCAGAGCTATAGCAGAAATAAGGATGGTGGCAGACTAGATGGAGAAGAATTGTTAAACACTAGGTGTAGTTTGAAGGTAGAATTAGCTGGATTTGATATGTTGGATGTTAGGGGTAGTGGAAAGGAAAGATACATTGATTACTCCAAGCCATTTGCTATTAAAATCTATTTATGTGCTCTTCATGGAATCAAGTGTGAGAGGTAAGGATTATAAATAATGATATATAAGTTTATATTTGTGTAGTACTTTGAAAATATTGCCACATCTATAATCTCATTTTGAGTAATTTTTTAAATTGAAACATGTTGGTAGTTGAAATATTTTCTGAGTTAATTTTTCTAAAATAGAACCTAACTGGCATTCAGAAGTGTTAAAGCTACTTGAAATTCTCACACACAAAAAGCAGTCCTTCTCAAAACTAAATATTATTGCTTACAAAATAAGTGCAGTTTTCTTTTGGAGGAGTAGTTTTTTTATTTGTTTTTTAAGAAATAGAACAGAAATTACAAAAAAATTAATTTTTTTATAATTTATTGATTTTTAGAGAGTGAGGCAAAGGGGAAAGACAGAAACATCGATTTGTTGTTCCACTTAATGCATTCATTGGTTGATTCTTTTATTTTTTTTTCCAAGATTTTATTTATTTATTTTTAGATAGCAGGGAAGGGAGGGAGAAAGAGGTAGAGAAACATCGGCTAGTTGCCTCTAATACGCACCCCAGCAGGGGACTAGGCCCAGAACCCAGGGATGTGCCCCAACCAGGAATCGAACCCATAACTTTGGTGTATCGGGATGATGCTCTAACCAACTGAGCTATCTGCTAAGAACTGAAATATTTTTCTTAACAGATTTTCATGATAGGTAAATTTTGTCTGAATGGGAGCATAAGGACAAGCATAGTTTTATGAGATAAGGGAATTTAATTTGCCAGGCTGTTATATAATATAGTTAAATTAACAGAAATCACATTAGATTGCAGTAATTATTAAGCATTTTTGCTTTTGGAATAGAAGTATGTATAATTTGATGTGAAATTAAAATAAAAAGCTTAAAGCCACCACAAATACATTCATCACTTTCTAGCATAATTTTGTTATATTTGATGTCAAAATCTGTCAATTAATGATTCTTTCCTACCTAGGCCTTTTCAAAAATGCAGTTTTTAATATTAATCTTCAGTTGGAACAGATTTGCATGAATTAGTGTATTAGTTCTTCAAGAAAAAATGAAATTTATCTCATTTTCTTATTTTTCAGAGGTGGCTGGATCCAAATAAACCAATAAGGAAGCAGCTAAAAAGTGAGCATGCATATTTACTTGATGTTTTGCAAATATACTTTATAAAGATACTGGGTAATATAATCTGATTAATTAGAACTGCTTTTATTAATTCTAGGAGGATCTCCTTACAATTTGAATTTTAGAGTCAAATTTTTTGTAAGTGACCCCAACAAGTTACAAGAAGAATATACAAGGTAGGTTTATGGAGTATGTCTTTCTTGAAATTTTGAAATTAATTAGGCAAAAATTGATTGCCATACTATAATTCTTAGTTTACCAGCAACACACAGAATAGGTTATAAATGGCTAAAGAAAATAATTTCCTTCCCTCTTGGATGACTGAACGCCTTAGGAGAGTAGAACCCCAGGGCTACCCCATCCAGCCTCAAGGAGCCTCCTGAGCCACATAAATATTAAAATTTTCTACTTGTGAAAAATGGTTAAGCAGCATTACTATAACTACTTGAAGTAATCAGATGCTGCTGCAATTTAAGTGGTGCTACATAGTAAGAGTTGTACCTGCCTTTTTTCCCTATGTAAAACCATAATATTTATATGGTTGACTCTTGAAAAACATGGAGGTTAGGGGCATCGACCACCTTTATATA